TAGCACAATTAGCAAACACGCAACCACCTCCAAAAGAGAAGAGAAAAGATCCACACACCAAGGCATCTCAACGGCGTAGCACCATACAACCCCCTCCGACATCATCTCGCGACCTGTCGTTGGTGACGGCCAAGACCTTTCAAAAGTGGTACCGCGACGAATCAGCTCGGCGCAGTGAGTGCCGGGTGTGACGATAGACATCGCCCGCTACGCGCGAGAACCGGTCGAGGTAACTTCCACAGTGGGAGTTCCTGACCCAACACGCCGGGTCGAGGGAATGCGTCTCTCGTATTTGGGAGACGTTTTCTGTGTAACGGTTGGCCCTGCTGATGAGGTGGGCGAGCGGGCGTAATGGCAAACATCGTGGTTGGCACTGGCCAGCGCGTAAACCCACGCCTTGATGAAATGCGGGCGTCGCTGCATTGCTGAGGTGAAGAGTTTGGGATGAGTTGTCTGTGCCGCCGAAAGAGTTGCCTCTCTGGGCACCGGCTGTTTGGTGACGTTGACGTTACACTTTAGCCACGAATAGAGATAGACGACGTGTGCGATGGTCGAAGCAAGCAGGCATCCTCAACGCCAGCTGAGTTAGAGTAAGAGTAGACTGATGGAACGATCTCACTTTGTAGGTACACCGCGTCGTTAGTGTTTGTTTTGTTTTATGATTAATGATCTAGTGAAATATGAACCGATTGGATCGACGCGTTCGAATGACCTCAGCTCATGGGTCAAAAATTTGCGAGTACCTTAGTATTAGGGGTCCATGCTGGGTTTATGGTGATAATTCATACTATGACCAAGGTTTCCCACGAGAAAAGCTCGTAGACATGAATAAGAGTCACGAAGGGACTAGAACAATAGCATTGAATATGAGGGAAATCTACGAATTATTGTTTCAGAGTGAATTCTCATAAATATAGTGTCAATAGCATGAATCCTTTGGGTTAAGCCCTTTAGTTCCACGGATATCTAGTCATCTGTAAAAAGCTGGAATCATGTCACTGAAGAGGCTAAGCAATACTCTCGAGCTCAGAGTCTTTTGCGATATCCAATTGTTGCTAACATTCCCAACTTTAAACGATCTGATCCTTCAACGCCGTCAGCGCCTGCTCGAAGTTGATCAACTTGCCCTGAACACCAAGCTCCTCCAGTGAAATGATTCTCCCAGAGGCCAGCGAATTCCAATCAGGAAACTTCTCGCTGAACCTCAACTGAGCCGCTAGCTCCGCACCAAAGTCTCCCCAGATTTTGGCCATGTCGCTGTCGGATATCTCAAAATACACCGCAGGCTTGCCGGTAACCTTTTCGAATACGTCTACCAACTGGGCCATGGGCTTGTAATCCGTGACACAGACTGCAACCTTCCCGTAGGCTTTTGCACCAGCTTCCAGGATTCCGCGAACGACAATACCGGAGTTGTTCTGGGCGTCGCCAGAGATGGGGAGTATGCCGGACGGGGACGACGGAACGATGAACGCATACCCTGCAGACATTGGCTTTGAAGACGAATCTGGTCAGTGATGTCATGTGCTTAGACAAATCATGGTTATCTCTCAACGTACAATTGGAGTGAATCTCATCGTTGGCAAAAAAGCCAGGTTCGAGGTGTACCAACCCAGCCAGAACTCTGTTGTCTTCGACCACAACTCAGGAGTGTTCTCGATCATCCAGTCTATGGCCTGTTGCTTGTAGTCAAGGTGAGGGACCTTCAGCCTCCCGTTGGAGGCTTTGTCTGCATGGGGCAAGCTGCTAATGACGTAGTGGTTGAGAGTGGTTGACTGTGAAGCAGCCCTGGCGAGGTTCTTCAGCTGTTCGAGCTCCTCCAGGCCTGCTCCATCACGGCCCAAGGTTGGAACGGACTCCCAATAAGTCGTCACAACGAAAGCTGCTGCTGCTCCTTCGAAGGCTTTGGCCAGGCTAGACTCGTCGTTGACATCGGCGGTTACGACCTCGACCCCCTGAAAGACATGATGAGACAGAAATTCATCCTGAAATACGTTTATACGTACCTTATCTGCCAGGCTTTTGGCTTTTGCACTATTCGCATTCCTTGTTATTCCTCGGACCTTCCACTTTGGGTCTTGAAGGAGCTGGTTGACGACCGAGCCTCCTTGAGCACCGGTGGCCCCAATAACCGCGACGATTGACATGTTGATGCAGATGCAAAAGGTTCAGTTGAAGAAGACATGTAAGTATGCTGTGCAGAGAAGAATATCACAAAACCAAGGTCTAAGCCATCGTCTTAAATATTTCATAACACGAACCAATCCAGAATACGGCAGGCTAAGGATACCCGAGTCTGATCGATGAGCGCGCGGTAGTCATGCCATGGCAATTACTTCCAGCAGAGCCATTCGGACCGTTCATACCTACACAGGTTCTTGAAAGTGACGAGGGATGGTAGCACGGCAGGAATTGCTGGCCACTGAGTGATCTGCCGTGGCCACGAGTGGGGTATGCCGCGCGGTAAATACAGTCACGTCCCCGATCCAATCCGGAATTATTACCGGCTATGGAGTCGTTGCGGCGCCGAAGTGGGGTAGGATGGCCCTCCCGCGCGGCTCAAGAACATTTGCGCCGGGCGAAGGCGGCGGGCCGAGCCGTGAACGAGCCGTCGTTCTTTTGCATACAAGTACACACACTGCTTCCGATGTTGATCGTAAATGATTGACGTCCAAACACGGATAGAGATTGTGCTCATCCCGCGCGGTTGATGACTGTGTAATTCCTGGCTTTCTGACTTGTCACACTGGGCGTAAGCTTCAGCTCAAGTGCCCAAGTGATCAATCGGATAAATGCGCCGTGTGTGTGACAGCATTTCTCCGGAAGTACATTGCGCGTGTATGACTTAGAAAAACCTCACAGCCACATTTCAAACACCTAAAACGACGGAGCCTATTGGCGAGAACAGTTGTTCGTAATACAACGTAAGCTGATCTGCGATGGCCTCAGCTGCATCGCCAGTAGTACCAGCACAATCGATTATCGGTCCAACGCATGCATGCCAATTATTGGCTCGTACAGAGACAACTCCTCAAAGCTCATCCTTGACTTCAGGTGCTGGCTTGAAGGCCTTCTTCTTTGTCATGCCGGCCAAGATATCCACGATAAGATCTGCCGCAGCGACTGAGGTTGTCTCGGCAACAGTATCATAAGGTGGGCTGACTTCCACGACGTCGGCGCCAACCATGTTCAAGCCTTCGAGCCCCTTCAGGAACCTCTTAAGCTCACGGGTAGTCCAGCCTCCTGACTCTGGGGTGCCCGTTGCCGGAGCAATACTGGGATCCAGGACTGCATTCATTGAATCCCATTAGCATTTTGGTCTGTACTTGGAAAGTGGATGATGAATTACCGTCAATGTCGATGGACAGATATACAGGCGTGTCACCAACAGCCTTCTTAACCTTCTCGATGATGCCATTCATTCCAATGTCGTCGATCTCATGGGCTTCAATGGTGGTGAAGCCGACGACGTCTCTGTCGATCTCATAATCTTTCGGTCCCTGAAATCTGTCAGTTGAATTCAGTACGCATGATAGAGGCAAGACGCCTACGAAGAGCTTAGTCCTCAAGCCACCATGAACGCTAGTGCCTTTCCTCACACAACCCTCGCGACTGGCGTGCCAGAAGAAGGTACCGTGAGTGATTGCGGATTGATTAGATACGATACCGGTATATCCTTCGCAAGGGTCCCAACTAAGTTTCAATTAGTAAATTAGTACAGCATTTTGCTCCTGGAATTGACATTGACTTACGTATCAAGATGAGAGTCAAGATGGATGACAGAAACTGGGCCATACACAGTCTTCAAGCTTCTGAGAATGGGCAGTACGATGGAGTGATCGCCACCGAGACTGATGATTCTTGGGTGCTCCCATTGATCTAGTGATATGTCAGCGGAAGCTTCCCGAAACATAAACATGCGATATCTGGGACGTACTGTTGTCTGATGTGGGGTGGTAGAGAATCTGACGATACGCTTGCTCCATCTGCTTAAAGGCATGCTGGGCGTCGAAAGGGGTGATGGGCACATCTCCACAGTCGATGATCTCCAGGCCCTCTTCGTATGGGTCGACACCCCAGACGGTGTTGTAGCTGCGACCCTTCTTTTCTCTAGATGATCCTGCGCGGATACCTCTAGGCCCAAAGCGAGCTCCGGGGCGGTATGACGTCGACGTATCGTAAGGAAAACCCAAGATCGCGACATCAAGAGGCTGTAAACGTTGATTAGCCGGTGAATGGAGACTATCGGCTTGAGTTTGGTCACCTTGTTGTGAGATTCAGCAAGACATCTCTGCCATTCTAAATGGGCAAACGTAACAGGCTGTGAGAAAGGGAGGTCTTTATCCAAATCTGATGATGATCAGTCAACTTGGCTCCCAGTCTTCTGAAGCGGGGTTGAAATACCTTCAATTGGGTACTGGTAGTCTGGGCCAACGTTGAGTGCGGCTGTCTGCGCAGCCCCGGCCAAGACAAGGGCGTCAGTGAATCTCATTTTCATGAAATGTTAAACCGAGATGATTAAGCTGATGTTTGTGAGAACGATGTGAACGGCAATCACCCCCGGCTGAATTTTAAATACCACCAAACTACTGCAGGCATCACACACTGAGCGCGGGGAACATCTCCGACCAACGTCCGATGTTGGAGCTTATCACATGCGGCATGCCGAAGGAAGGAGACTCCGAGACCCCACTTTCCGGCCACACGGCTTGGAGCAACCGACTCCGATATCTTGCGGGAGGACATGGCCACTATCCAAAGCTAAAATTGCGTTAGCATAGATAAGACGACTTCTTATCTCTGAAACGTCAAATACGTGATCGTGAACGACGTCGTGTAGAATCCGCTAAAGGGGTTCGTAACGACATATATAATGGGCGCGGCGTAGCGGTGGATTCTCGGAGTAACATGCATATGTTCTGCAGGCGAACATATCCTCATACGTGTTTTTAGTTCCATTCTACACCGGTCTCTTTACCCCTTGAGCCCCGGTCGCCAAGATGTCGGTCGAGAGGGAGCCCAAAATCGAAAGTGACAGCGAGGCGAAACAGAGCGTCGATCCGCAGGTCACTCGCCCAGAGTCGGTCGATGTCGCCGAAAATAGAGAGCTGACAACGAAGCGCGGCCTATCATCACGACATGCGCAATTTATCGCGCTCGGAGGGTCCATTGGCACCGGCCTCTTCGTCAGCTCCGGCGGCACCTTGGCCCGAGGCGGCCCGGCATTCCTGGTCGGAAGCTACGTCGTCATGTCCGCTCTGATCTACATGGTCCTTACCGCCGTCGTCGAGATCTCAACATACCTGCCTCTCCCTGGCGGCACAATGAATTACTATGGAAGTCGCTATGTCTCTCGAAGCTTGGGGTTCATGATGGGGTGGTTGTACTTCTACTCATTCGCCATCTTCGTCCCTTTCGAGCTTACGGCGTCCGCACTTGTTATCGAGTACTGGAATCCGAACGTCAACAATGCGGTCTGGATCACTATCATGCTTTTGCTGGTTGTCGGTCTGAATCTGCTACCGGTCAAGTTCTACGGCGAAACCGAGTTCTGGTTCGCCAGCTTGAAAGTCATCACGATCGTCGGCCTCCTGATCCTTTCGTTCATCCTTTTCTGGGGCGGTGGACCCAGCCATGACCGACTGGGCTTCCGCTACTGGCAACACCCCGGCGCCACCAAGACTATGATTGTCGACGGTGATGCGGGCAGGTTTGTGGCTGCGTTGTCCACACTTCTTAGCAGCGTCCTGCCCTTCACCTTCTCTCCGGAGATGATCGTCGTTACGGCCGGAGAGGTCCAGTCACCCCGCCGTAACCTGCCCAAAATCGCCCGCAACTTCTTTTGGCGTCTCGTTGTGTTTTATATCGGCGGTACGATTGCCATCTCTGTCATCTGCCCATCCGATGCCTCAGCTCTTACGAACGGCGGTTCGGGTGCTGCGTCATCCCCCTGGGTCGTCGGTATCAAGAACGCCAGCATCAAAGGTCTGGACAGTGTTATTAACGCCGTTATCGTAACTGCGGCCTGGTCCGCAGGAAACTCGTTCTTGTACCTGGCCAGCAGATCCCTATACTCGATGGCCTGCGAAGGAAGCGCCCCGGCCATCTTCAGACGGTGCACGAAGCAGGGAGTTCCGATCTACGCTGTCATTGCCAGCTCTCTGTTCTCGCTCTTGGCATACATGAACGTCAACTCGTCGGCGGCAGACGTCTTCAACTGGCTTCTGAATCTTGTTAACACGGGTGGTTTCATCTCTTGGGTGTGCTGTGGAATCATCTACCTGCGATTCCGGAAGGCCTGCGAAACCCAGCAAGTGCCGAAGGAAATGCTCACCGCTCGCTCATGGCTGCAGCCGGTTGGTGCATGGATCTCATTGGTTGTATTCGCTATTCTCTGCCTTCTGAACGGATTCACGGTGTTCTTCCCGTCGAGATGGTCGGTGGCAGACTTTCTTTCGGCGTACATTGGCCTTCCACTTTTCGTGGTCATCTACTTCGTGCACCGCTTTCTGTACCGCGGAGATACTTGGGCCATCAAGTCCGAAGACGTCGACCTGCAGAGTGGGTTGGCCGAGTTGGAGGCGGAGGAGGACCTCGAGGTGCCTAGCGTGAGTTCGTGGCAAAAGTTCAAAAGTTCTGCAGGACGCGTCGTGGGAAGAAAGTAAGATTGCTAGTTAAGTTAGTCTCTCGCAGTCTCTTGCCACGTCAGATAAGACGCCATGAAGAAAGATAGAAAAGGCCGCCGGCAAAAGCCTGCGGCGCACTTAGATACCGGGGATATGTATACAGTGTTTCCCATATTTATTTGAACAATCAATCGAATCCGCTAATAGGACATCAATCAATTTGCCAATGGTTTCGTATTTGTTATGGAGCTAGTAAAGATACTGGTTGTGGGCTGCGGTCCGGTCGGCACCATGTGCGCTTTTGCGCTGCAGAAGTCGGGGCAGGCAACGGTCACGGCCATCCTGCGGTCGAACTCTGACTTGGTGAAAAGCCAAGGGTTCCGAATCCAAAGCGTCGACCATGGGGAGATCGACTCTTGGAGACCTCATAATAGTACGTCATTTGTCAAACGTGAGGTTTCTAAAGCTGACACCAACGGACAGTTGAGCGTACCGTCCACGATTCTCTCCAACACGGCCCCTTTGACTATGTTGTCGTCGCCCTCAAGAACCTCCCTGACATCTACTCGATCCCGGATATCATCGCTCCCGCTGTAACTCTGGATCGCACCTCAATCGTCTTAGTCCAGAACGGCATCGACATAGAACAACCTTTCGTTGACGCCTTTCCAAAAAGCACACTTCTGACAGGCGTCCCCATGATCGGATGTGAGCTCAACGGCCGCGAGCTTCTCCACAATGACCCGGACATCCTCCAGATCTCACCATTTCCGTTTCAGAGCCACGGAAAGTCTCGAGACTCATGTGTCAAATTTGCAGACATGTACAATCTTGGGGGAGCGAAGTGCAACATTCAAGAAGATATCATCTGGCATCGATGGAGAAAACTCATCTGGAATGCATCTTTCAACACAGTCTGCGCCTTGACAAACATGGACTCGGGGACCGTACAGGATACCGGAGGTATTGACACGCTCATTCGCCCCGCCATGGACGAAGTTGTGGAAATCGCAAGAGCAGCCGGTTGTGTGCTTCCGTCGGGGATCCAAGAAGATATGGTCGCTTTTACACCCAAGGAAGCACACTTAAAGCCCAGCATGCAGGTCGATGCTATTAGAGGACGACCAATGGAGATTGAGGTCATTCTTGGTAACCCTATTCGTACCGCGCGCAGCTTCGGAGTCGCGACTCCAACGCTGGTGGTTTTATACAACCTGTTGAAGGCCAAGCAGTGGCAGTTTACAGCCGGAAGATGATGATCACCGTGTTGAGCTTCCTATTTCGCCATGGAAGCCCACGAAGTATGCTGTACTGGAAGTTGCCCCAAATTTCATGGACTGTTCTTGGTAATGAGCAAAGTTTCTGTCAGGGAAGTGAAAGGCATAATTGATGACTGGAGTTTCAATTCCTTACTACCTAACTAAGTAATACACAAACGACGAGAGTTTGCTCTCATTCTGTTGGAGCTCTCAGAGTCCCGACGATCAATGCATTGTTGCCGGCGAGACAAAATACGAAACGGCCACCCATGCGTTGTGTATTACAATTTCTTCTGCAGGCCAGCCGCCTTGTAGATCAGCAAATCGAGACTTACTGCAGATATCTTGTGGAAACAGATACATCTGCCTCCACTCAAGCGTCAAGCGACACCGCAGTCTACCAGCAGCCCAAGCGGTCGGAAAGACACTGGCGGCTGCAAACGTTGTTGAGATTGACGTTTTCTGCCCAACCCGAAACGGTATCATCAGATCCGCACTTGCCAATAGTGGTCGCAGCGGCGTCAATGAGATTGCCCTTGATGAATTATATCTTAGTTAAGTCCCACCCAAAGGAGAGCGGAGGAAATGTTCCAGACTACGTACCTGTGGCATGTTGGTAATCGTGTCCCTCCAACCAATCCAGCAGATGGAGCGATCCGAGGTCAGCGAGATACCATTCACATTGCTGGGGACGATGACACCGCGGTTGTTGAGCAGGGTATTGACCAATCTCTTGCACAGGTCGGTAGGGGCGCCGTTGGTGTCGGAACAAAAGACGTTGTTACTGCCACACTGGTCATTGGCTTCGGATCCTGCTGGCGAAACGACCGGTGGCCAGGATGCTTGGTTCTCCCAGGCGGCATCCCCGTCGAACGTGGCTGGTGATTCAGAAGTAGAGCCCCAGTACTCCAAGGTTCCAGTTTCGACCACCCGGCTGTACATAAGAACAGGCGCGGTCTCGTTGCGGGGTGCGAGGATAGCGGCGCCCTGGACGTTGACGGCAAGGCCAGCGGCCAAGGCAAGAGTCAGAGAGTTGAGCTGCATTATGGCTGTCGGGGTGTCAGATCAAGCGGTGTAAGATCCAAAATGCAATTGGCAAAGAGAGGTGCCCGGCTTATGATGTCGAGGGAGTGAGGCTTGCTCCTTCTCATTCTGCTTAGATCGTAGCTAGGTTGATGGAGGTGTTTTATACACACTCGGGAACAGACTGACAAGGTGAATCTCATTTCCGTCTCAAAGAAACACGTAAGTCTTTTACATTCACTATCGATAACAATCTCTCTCTAAGGTACAAGCAATTTACGGCGCCGTCACGCAGCCAGCAAGCCTTGGACTAGACACCAGCGGCGCAGAGGCTGTAGTAACTGTAAGCATCTGAGAACGGGCCCTTATCAGACTGGCTCTTTGACCAAAAATGAAGCCCCTAGCCTGCGTTAGGGTAATATAATCCTTGTGTAACGTATGGAATTTCATCAAGCACATGACCAGAAGGCCACAAAGAGTATGGAGGAAAAAGCAATGATGGTGTATTTATGTTGGTCAAAACTCTTTACGTCCGTTGTCCATCGTGGTATCTGACGTTAAAGTAGGAAGTCACCTCCTGAAACCGCCAGCTCGTACTCATAATCTGGTTGAAATTCCAACCACATGGCTTCGGGAGTGGTCAGTCGATACGTATACTCCGCTTCCTCATGAGGACAGATAGACTTTTGAATACCAGAAGCAGCAGCTGCTTCCGCCAGAAGCTGGACGCGGCACGAGTTCTCCATCAGAGTATAGAGAAATGCAGCCTCATCGACAGTCTTTCCCGTTGTTAGAAGGCCGTGATTCTTCAATATCGCGCACCTGTTGGGTCCCAATGCTGCCGCGATCCGCTCCCCCTCCGACGCCTGAAACGCAATACCACCAAACATGTTATGGACGGCATGATCATTGTAGAAGGTGCAGGCATCTTGGTTGAGCATCTCGAGTGGCCGTCCGAAGGATGCCCAAGCTTTCCCGTGAATGCTGTGGAAATGACACGCTGCGTTGACATCGGGACGGGCGTGGTGCAAAGCCGAGTGAATGTTGAAACCGGCGTTGTTGATGCATGCCTCGTTGATTTAGTATGAGTACAGTGAATTTGGTCCTGTTTCCAAACTCACATGATTGCCGCCTATGATCTCTCCATTCATGTTCACATGCACCAAGTCGCTCACCTTAATGAGACCAAAGTGGCGGGCTAGGCTTTCGCGGGTCGTCAATAAGGGTGAGCGGAACGAAGATTCGGGCGGGATAAGTGACTTACGGGTTTATCCAGAATGTGTCAGGGTCAACTGGATCGCGGACTGAAATATGGCCAGCAGTGCCCTCGAGGTAGCCCTTTCTTGCGACCACTCGGAAAGCTCCAGCCATCCGTTCCAGGACCCATTTACGTTCATGATAAGGATCTGTGAACTTAGGAATACCTGCTATGAGAGCGCTTCTCCCGATGGTGGCCCCTGAGCCATCAACGGTTGAGAGTCCGTCCATGTGCGTGTCCAAGACCCGGGGACGGGAAGAATTCTGGGCGGAACCATTACTGTCACTTCGTGGTGTCTGAAGCTTCAAAACTGCCGTTGTAATGGTGTTGGATGACATGATCTGGTCTTAGAAGCTTATGGAAGATGTACAATCTGAATTTCAAGGCTCTTTTCTTTTGAGATTTTCTTGCCAGCATGTGCGCTTGCTGCTTTTATGTACATCGAAGATGGCCGTTCGCTGCCTCATAGCGAAGCGAACCATGGCTTTTCTTCCAGCAGTATTCCTACTGCATTGATCCTCGGTTGTTTTCAGTCCCCAAAGTTGACAACAGAGGCAATACGCACAGATCTTCATCAGAGTAAGAGATTCCGATTGCCAGTTTTCTTTAGATGTTGCGAATGATGCTGTCAGGGGTGGCGTTGGCGCCATAGTGGGTCCTGGGAGTCTCCTTCCTCGGCAAGATGGTGCGGGCGCTGCCTTATCACACCGATATGATAGGAGATGAAGCGACGTGATTGCTCGACACATCGACTCCGACTTGCCCCCCGGTCTTTCTCCGAGGAAAGACAATGCGAGGTTTGCAAGGAAGACCGGCATTCGAATCACGAAGGCGTACACCTTGTGTCGGAAGGGCTCCCGTACTTCGAAGCCAACCAAGGAAGAAGTCATGGACAAGGAGGATGGGCAGCGTATCAGACAGATATCTGAAGCTGCTCCGAGGGCTTTTGAATAGCATTTTCACGCTCGGATACAAAAGGACGCGTTCCCATCGGATCTACAAACTTCACTCCATGTCAGCTTTTCTATGAGCGCAAATACCAACCAGCCGGAAGATCATCATCTGCCCCTCAATTACTATCCTCAATAGTCTTCGTCAATTCCTGAAATCTACAAACCTTCCAACATGTCTACGATTACCGCAGCCCCAGAGACCACGACACTCCAAACTTGGGGTTATGGACTCGGCCTCAGCTCCGGGCAGCGAGAGCCGGAGTATGACCTTCTAGAGCCCTACGAGTCTATGCCAGAGGCTATAGTCGGCCGCACTGTATGGACGAAGGAAGATCTGGAAGCTGATACCAGTCGCTGGCTCCGAGTTTTCACACCTGACGAAGTCACCCACATTGAAAATGCCGTTCACGACATCGAGAAGAACAACTTACAACTTTCCGAAGTCGACAAGTTAACGTTCATCCTTCCCACGTCGTTTGCTTATACTCTCGCGTCAGTCAGAGATGAGCTTATCAATGGCATTGGCTTCGTCGTGCTGAGAGGTCTTCCCGTCCACAGTTGGACGACTAGACAAGCTTCGATCGCGTACCTTGGCTTAGGCTCCTACATCGGACGTCGCCTGAGCCAGAACCGCCAAGGCCACATGCTGGGACACATCAAAGATCTGGCAGAGGGGAAAGAGATCAATGGCGAGGGAAGGATTTATCGAACTCAGAAGGCGCAGACCTACCATTCTGATGAGAGTGATATCGTCGGACTGCTCTGCTTGCACCAGGCCATGGAGGGTGGCCAGTCGCAAGTCGTCTCTACGCACCATATCTACAACATCCTACGAAAGGAGCGATCAGACGTTCTTCGGCAATTGTGTTTGCCACACTGGTTCTACGACCGAAAGGGCGAAACGAGCGAAGGCGAGAACGAATGGATGCGTACGCCGGGATACTACTACTACAATGGCAAGCTGAGCATGAAGTGGGACTCGTACTATGTGGGAGCATTGCAGAGATTTTGGGAGGCAGGCTTGCTGCCAAAGTACACTGACGCTCAACAAGAGGCGATCAAGGTGATGGAAGAGATGTGCCACCGTTTGTCGCTGGAGATGACTCTGCAGCAGGGCGATGTGCAGTTTGTTACGAACACGCACAACTTGCATGCGCGATCGGCATATAAGGATGACAACGATGTTACTAAGAAGCGATGGCTACAGCGACTTTGGCTTGCCACCTCAGAGGAGGAAGGCGGGTGGCCGTTGCCATTTGCAGATTCTACGTATGCTAAGAGGGGAGGCGTTCAAGTAAACATGACTCCTGAGTCCTACCCAACGGAGGCGGAGTGAGGCATAAATATATGTAGATATTCGATCCAAGTTTAGGAAGCCGAAACGGCGTTACATGCTTTTGTCCTCCGGCTCCTCTCTCACACTTCGCACATCCCTTTCCATACTCTCGCCTCGCGCGTACATGACCGTGGTGGCTTGTGGACCGTCAAATATCGTTGCTATCTCTTCAATAGTACGGTCCTTCGTTTCCGGAAATTTCAAGTATTGAATGGCAAGCAGAACAGCATTGGTTATAATGCAGACTGAGTAGCTGGGAAGAACTATGTCAGCCTTTAAACTGGATCGATATCCTCGCTGGGCACACAACTCACTATTTCCAGCCCAAAGCATCGAGTGCTATGGGGTTGATCCAGGTATTCAACGATACAGCTACAGCAAATACCACGATGTAAATGGCCAGCCCTTTGGTTCGAAGGCTGTACGT